GTCTCGTTCCCCCGAAATCTCTAACCCGACCAAATTCTCATTAATTAAATAATATTTTGTTTTGTTTTGTTTCATCTATTTCCACTTGTTTCGGATAAGGATATCAAAATAACTATTCTCCATATATATATATATATATATATGCGGATAAGTTATCTGCATTTATTTTCAAAACGATGTCGTTTGGTATTGAAATCTTAAAAAATTATAATCTTTTTTTTGGACATTACAGGGAATCGAACCGCACACCTAATACACCCTAAACACACTCAACACCACTAAAAAAAAAATTATAATCTAAAGACTATTATAACCCTCAAATAAATTAAAATTATAAAAATACCATGATTTCCATCCTAAAACGACATCGTATTGGGTTTACTGCAGATAACTTATCTGCAGTAACTGCAGAAAAAGTGAACCTATATATATATATATATATATATATATATATATATATATATATGTATAGGAGTAAACATTTCTGCAGCCACTTTAAATAAGCTTATCTACAACTACCGTTTATAATTATGTTCTCCTAGAAGAACATAGTTATAACATTAAAGTTGTTTTTTTTCTCTCTTCACGTCAGCAGACAGGTTCTGAAAAGTAAATGAAGAGAGAGAAAAAAAATAACTTTTAATGTTATAACTATGTTCTCTCGGGAGAACATAGTTATAAACGGTAGCTGTAGAAATACTTTTGTCATATATATATATGGAAAAAATGTTTGTCATTTTAAATGACATAACACTCTGTCCTTTTAAGAGAGAGACAGACACATAAAAAAATTTTATTTAAATTTTAAATTAAAAAAAAACCACCCACTTTCTCTCTCCCATGATTTTCATTTTTTTGTGTCTATTTCTCTCCTAAAATGACATAACTTATGTCATTTAAAATGACAAACACCAAACTCTATATATATATATATATATATATATATATGGAAAAAGTTATAGTTACAACATTTTTTTTTACAACCTCTTATATATCATAACCGTTGATTTCCGTCAATCAACGGTTATGATTTTCGCAAATTTAACTCATTAATTAATTATTAATTCATAATAAATGACAACCGTTGATTGGTGGAAATCAACAGTTATGATATATGGTTGTAAGAGGTTGTAAAAAAAAGGTTTCGCTTTTTCTACAGTCAATGTAGATAACTTATCTACAGTGAGCTCAAAACAACGTCGTTTTGAGGCGAAAATCAATGTATTTTTGTAATTATAATTTATTTCAGGGTTATAATAGTTTTTTTCATTATAATTTTGAAATTTTTCAATCCAAAACGACGTTGTTTTGAGAGCGAATGTAGATAACTTATCTACATTCACGTTAGAAACATTAAAGCCTATATATATATATATATATATATATGATAAAATCATTTCTGCAGCCGCTTTACGTACAACAAAGACAGGTGTATGCTCACGATTCCTCACATTTAACGCTTTTATCCTTTGTATGGTTATGATTCTCCGCATTTAATGCTTAGTATATATATGACAAGTATTTGATTGCTGCATGTATAGCAACTGCAGAAATATAAACCGCTATATATATATATATATGGGAGAGGTTATATTTACAAACTTTTTTGTTTACAAATTACACTATCTTCTCTCGGGAGAACACTAGTTACACTATCTTCTCCCGGGTGAAGATAATGTAATTTGTAAAAATTTGTAAACGGATCATTCCCTATATATATATATATATATATATATATATATATATATATATATATATTAGCTTTAATGTTTCTAAAGTGAATGTAGATAAGTTATCTATATTGGCTGCTAAAACGACGTCATTTTGGGTTGAAAAAGTAAAAAATTATAAAGAAAAAGATTATTATAACCCTGAAATAAATTATAATTACAAAAATACCTTAATTTTCGTCTCAAAACGACGTCGTTTTAGACTCAATGCAAATATGTTATCTACATTGATCATAGAAAAAGTGAACCCATATATATTACTTACGTCACGCAAATCATGTAATGCAAGCAAAAAGTCTCAAAGGAAGAAAAAGAGCTACATTGTGTAGCAAAATATAATAATAGGGCTGTAGTCAACAGTGATCATGTTTTCACTATCAAATTAGAACACTCGTCTCGAAGGTTCATCAACGAAAAGTTTTTTTAGTTGTTAAATTGTTTTTTAATATATTCCCTCACACGAAATTTCTTTGGGTTTAAAATGTGAATATTATATAAACTCAATTTTTTTGTTTTTTGTTTTACTTTATGTTTATTCAATTCTGCAAGTGGGCGCAGTAAAAATTGAACGTGTGACCTTATGGGCACTTAAGCTCTGATACCATATAAAGAACTATTTCAACCAGAAACTTTAATATATTGTGTTAAGACTTTTTTAATGATTCATATTATTCTCTAACACATGAATTGAAGTAGTTCTTTATATAGTATCAGAGCTTCAGTGATTACAAGGTCACAAGTTCGATCTTCATCTCCTCCACTTGTGGAATTAAATAAGCATAAGGTAAATCAAAAAAGAAAAAAAAATTGCAACAATATTCATGCTTCAAGTCCAAAGGGCTCTTGTGTGAGGAGATGTGTTAGAGAATAATATAAACAATTAAAAAAGTCTTTATCCAACACCTTAAGGGGCCGTTTGGTACGCGATTTTTTAGGATTCCCAGAAAACTGAATTTTTCTAAATTTTTAATTTTCGAATATTATCGTAAATGGAATGTTTTTATCTTATTTCTGAAAATCGAGATTCCCGGATAATTTTTTTTTTCCGTTGAAGTGAATTTTTACTAGCTTGAACAGATCCAACAGAATCGTTAGCAGATCATGTACTTACAAAACCTCGTTAGCAATTTTTTGTTTGAATTTGATCGGCCATGTATGGATATGGATTCCGCTAATTGTTTATAATTTAAAGTTTCAACCACTAAAAATGATCTCATGATTTGGTGGAGATGTAATTAAAAAATTGACAAGCGGTGCCGACCCTAATTAGTTAAAATGATAAATATTATAAATATAAAAAGCTCATGATATGCATATGATGAAATACAATTGAAAATTTAAGGGTAAATTATATCTATTTCATAATACTTGGGCTTAAATAAATTGTATTGCATCAATTTATACTTGCCACCCTTTGAAAGTATATATTTTATTTGGATAAATTATAAGTATTTTTCACGGGAGACAATCTTATTAGAAACTGGTTCAATATTAAGACTTTAAACTTCACTCAAATATTATATTGGAGGAAGATTAAGGCTTTGAAAGTATACATTTTAGATGTTGAGTTATTTTGAAGATTTATAAATACTTTGATAGAAACTTTTGATGGAGAGCACTTATAATACACTAATCCAGGGAACTTATTATTTAATCTATATACGTTTGTCAAATAGTTTGAATGCAAAAAGAGCCATCATGGGTTTCAGCAGTCTAAAATGAAACCAAGAGTTAGATCCTAAATAAGAAAAGAAAGTTGTCTTGCAATAGTGTATAAAATATTTCGATGATAACGTATTTAAATAGATGATAATGCAATCACTAACAACTAGTGATTAAGGCTTAGTTGGCAAAATATACATAATACCTGGTTTATTTTTTCCAGCAGAGAAACTTAATACACCCAATTTATAGCACTGAATGCTCATTTGTTAAGTTACTAATTTTTTTTAGGGAAATATTTTTCTCATTGTTGGAGATAGCTATCTCATGTTATACACTTATCGAATTTTGTGTCAGTTTTTTTTTTTTCTTCTAAAGTGTGGATCCCATATATTTGTCTCACACACATAAGAGAATTATATCAAGTAACATGAGATTAGTAACTCTTTTTTTTTTTTATTACAATTCAGTATTTGAGCTAATTAACTTGCACGGAATTTTATTAGTTTACTCTTATGAACGTATATTTATTCATACAGTATATATTCATCGAACGTGAGATCAACTCCGTGAATTATTACTAATTGAATTGAATAAATAAAGCCTAACGAAATAATCAGCATAGTACACCGCATTCGAAGGAACTTTTTGTTGAAAGAAAACTTGACACCTAGATGATGGGTTGCTAAAGTCGTCGTTGTAGATTAGATGCCTCAAAATAGGATATAGCAGTGATTCCTGTTAATTTGCAACGTAAATCAGTACCTTACAATTAACTGAAGCGACCAGCTAAGCTTATTCAAACGAATGATCTTGGAGGGAAATCAAATTTTATTTTTCTTATCCGCCTTTTTATACAAAGCTAAACTTTATGCAAAATCTCATATGATTGAGGGAAAAAAAACCATGCAACATTTATGTATAATAATAAAAAATACAGTTCATCAACGTGTCAGTCGCGGTCTGCTAATAATGTTGCTTTTTCCGGTGGGTCAGTGACACACAGTGCTTATCCTCTCATCCCATTCATTAAATTATAACGATTTATGCCATTACAATGATATATCATCGAAGTTAAGAATTAACCCTATGCATTTTGCAGTTATGATTCACAATTCCATCCATTATTCTTTTTGGGTATGCAATAACTTATAATTCTATAGCTATCATGAAGTACGTCTTAAAGTTAAATTAATTATAGGGTGCTATTGCTCTGCGAACAATCTAGACAACAAAAAGTGCCGGACAATTTCCTCCTTATCAGCGGCGGTAACGTGACAACCGTCCATCTTGGACACGTGTCAGTCTTAGAACGGGTAGCGCCGAATTGCTTCGCTGTATGAGAGCAACGAGTGGCGGGGGATATATCCGAAAAATAAAAATGAAAATAAAAATAATGAGGTATGAAGAACGTGTCACAGCCTGTCATCAAATAGGATTCTTTCTTTTCTGGCTTTGTATTTTTGAAAAAAATTAATTGCTATCATATTTGGAACTATTATAAATGAATTTCCAAAAATTGAAAAAAAAAAAAAAAAGACCGGAAACCGGGTACAGCCTGTGGAACCCGAGGCTCTTCCTTCTCCATATAACACCTAACGAAGCGAAAACAGAGTGCAGAGTGTGCTTGCTTTCAGAGTTTCAGTGAGTGAGCGAGTGAGTGATCATTCAAACACACACACACACACACACAGAGAAAGCGAATATGCCGATTCGAAACATCGCCATCGGAAGGCCCGAAGAGGCCACTCACCCAGACACCTTGAAGGCTGCGTTGTCTGAATTCATCTCCACCCTCATCTTCGTCTTCGCCGGCTCAGGTTCCAGCATCGCCTTCAACAAGCTCACCAGTGACGGCGCTACCACCCCCGCCGGCCTCATCTCCGCTGCTATTGCCCATGCATTCGCCCTCTTCGTCGCCGTCTCCGTCGGCGCCAACATCTCCGGCGGTCACGTCAATCCCGCCGTCACCTTCGGTGCCTTCGTCGGCGGCAACATCACCTTCCTCCGCGCCATCGTCTACATCATCGCCCAGCTACTCGGCTCCATCGTCGCCTCCTTGCTCCTCGCTTTCGTAACCGGACTCGTAAGACCGTTATAACCGTCACGCTTTCCGTTACTGATTATTATATTTTATCTTAAAAAGTCTTAACAAACTAACTTAAAAAGATTAACTAACCCCAAGAGTTTTGTTACGGTGCATCGCAGAGTGTTCCAGCATTCGGTCTCACTGCTGGAGTCGGAGTTGGGAACGCGTTGGTGTTCGAGATCGTGATGACTTTCGGGTTGGTGTACACTGTGTACGCTACAGCAATTGATCCCAAGAAGGGTAATTTGGGAATTATAGCCCCCATCGCCATCGGTTTCATTGTTGGTGCTAATATTTTGGCCGGTGGAGCCTTCACCGGAGCATCCATGAACCCAGCCGTGACATTCGGACCTGCCGTCGTGAGCTGGAGCTGGGGCAACTACTGGATTTACTGGGTTGGGCCTCTCGTCGGTGGTGGTCTTGCTGGACTTATCTACGAAGTGATCTTCATTGGCCAAACCCACGAGCAGCTTCCCACCGCCGATTACTAGAGAAGAAAATGAAATTGTGTAGTGCTGAATTTGAATTTATCTGATATCTTCTTCTCTGTATGTTTTTTTCCTTCCTTGTGTTTTTTCTTTTATCACCCTACTTTTAAGGGTTGTTTCATTTGTGTTGAATGGTGGCCGTTGATCTCTGGTTGAATGGTTGATGATCATGTAGTAAATTGTTTGTACATGATCTGGCTCTGAGCAGGTTCACCAATGAATGTATTGTGATTCGGGTCTGGTTGCTTGTATAATTCCAAATTTCTTTTTTCCTTGCATCTTCTCTTAATTATAAATCAAAACGTTTTATCTCTTTCTTTTCCTATTTTATGAATGGTGACTTTTGATTTAACCCTTGAGCAAAACGGGGAATGAATCTTCTAGAGAAAAAAACAGTTAATCATGCTATGTGACAAAGAGTTGAATTAGAATCCCAGAAGCATATGCCACAAGTGGGTCCAGTTCATAAGTGTAGGTCGGTAATTAGTTTCCCTTACGAAAGGAGTTGAAGTGCCTAGAAATTAAATGCGAGGAAGAATATATGTGGAACGTTGACAGAGAAGGGACTAGAACCAGATGATTGCATCTCTCAATGATTGCATCCTCCGTTGGATTAACCCTTATATTTTACCAATTTTACTACCTTTTCATTAAAAGTTATCTTGATATGCATGATAGGATAAAAAAGTAAAAATTAGTAGAGTTCAAAATGAGTGTAGTTGTTTTTTCTTTTTACCTAATTGGAGGGTCATCTACTCATCTTTTCTTATTGGGGCCAAGCCAATTGAAAGAAACGGAAGCAAGTGGTGATGGAAATGATTTTGGTGGTTTTGTCTTAAATATGGGTAAAGATACGTAAATGTGGATTGTGCTAATTCATGGCATGGGCTGTTATGCATATGCCACACCAATGATGGGATATGGTCAGGTAGCACAGCACGTGAAAGAAAACGTTGGAAAACTAGTGTCCAAACCCACATGGCCTTTCACTTTATGCATTGGACCTTGCCACATTGTTTCGTGCCATCCACTTTTTTCTTTAGGGAAGTGCCAAGTGCGGCGGTGGTCCACCACTTAATAGTTAATCAACCGATTTACAAACCTCAATCTCTTATTTATTGATACTTATAGTAAAAAACAAAAAACATTAATATTAGCAAGACAGATTCTGCTTCTCTTCGTCATCTGTCTACATTTTTATTTGAGCACCCATTTTGCAACAACATCCAATCCAATTTAGTTACATCTGTCATTTTTTTATCATAGAAAAATACTTGTCAGGTACAACATTATTATGGAATTTTTGTTAGAATAATTAGCATTATTATTGATTTGTCAATACATGAGTAATCTCTTCACTTTGGCTTATTCAACAATTACACTTAGGTATTGACATATTTTAGCTAAATTATGTTAAATTTTCTCTAGGTGTATAACATTACTTTTGCCAAAATTATAGATGTAGAAACACATGGAGAAAGAAAAAATTACGTTGACATAATACTATTATTATTGAGTACACTTCTAAGGTGACGTGTACATAATCTTTATTGTAAAATACTCACATTATAAGCACACCTTTTACATATATTGAGAAATTCTTAGGTAGAAATTTTTTACCTTAACCATTCGGATTAACATTGATCAAGTGTAAAGACAATTTTATATATAGATGTATTTTTAATGTAGTTTACAGAATCTTACAAATATTAAATATCGATTTGAATACTTTTGATAAAAAAAATTACTTAACAATTTTTCCAAGGCTATTATGCCTATCGGAAACAACTTCCAATTTATTTATGTTGCCTATCCTTTCCCGTGACATATGCTAATTTACAATGTAAAATTTAAAAATGTATGCATATATAATAGCTACATTTCATTTGACTTTTAAGGCTTCATGTATCAATTTGGTGAATGAATTTAAATGGTATAATAATTATAAGTCATGTTCTTCCTATGCCAACGAAACAACGGATATATATATATATATATATATATATATATATATATATATATATGGGATAAGAGATTGTGACACACAAATAATATTACGCACAATGTTACGACCACATCTTAACCGTTGATTTCCGCCAATCAACAGTTATCATTTATTGCGAATTAATAATTAATTAATGAGTTTGATTTGAAAAATGATAACCGTTGATTGGCGAAAATCAACGGTTAAGATGTGGTCGTAACATTGTGCGTAACATTATTTGTGTCACAATATTCTATCCCTATATATATATATATATAGAGAGAGAGGTAAGATCTTTTGACATCAGTGTCAATTTAAAATTTGACACATCATCTGAGAGTCGTTAGATCAAAAAAGATCAACGACTCTAATTTGTAAGCATGTAATACCATTGATCTTTTTTATCTAACGGTTCTCAGATGAGGTATCAAACTTCAAATTTGACACTGGTGTCAAATGATTCTACCTCATATATATATAGGGCTTATCGTTTCTTAAGCTGCCGGAGATAATTTTATCTCTGGCTAATAAATCATAACCGTATAAAGATGGATTAAAGATAATGAAGGAAGAGAGAGAAAAAGGGAATCATAACCATTCAAAAGCGAATCAATTAATATAAGAAATAAATAAACAAAATGACGTAGTTTTAGGGTGGCCGGAGATAAACTTATCTCAAGTTGCCGGAGAAATATTTTTTCTATATATATATATATATATATGAGGCAGGATATTCTTACATCGGTGTAAGAGTTAGAAGTCTTACACTCAATCTTGACCATTCATCCACTTGTATTTCATGACTCACATTACTAAAATATTTGAGCCCTTAGATATAAGTGGAATGAATGGATAAGATTAAGAGTGTAACTTATACTGGTGTAAAATGATCCTATAGGAAGGTTATATTTACAAACTTTTTGTTTACAAACTCTTACAAATTACACTAAGTATGACCGGTCAAACTTCAATCAAGAGTTTATGACCGGTCATACTTAGTATAATTTGTAAAAAAAATTTGTAAACGGATCATTCCATATATATATATATGGGTTAAATATTTTTACAGCCACTTTAGATAAGATTGTCTACATCGATCTCTTTTTAACTAAGTCTGACCATTAAGACAAAAAAATTGCATTTTCTCTCTAGCCACATCAGCTGACAATGTCTGTGGAGAGAGAGAGAAAAACAACAGCTTTATTGTTATAACTATTTCTTACTGGTCAAACTTAGAAGGAATAGCTGTAGATAATATTATCTAAAGTGGCTATAAAAATATTTTTCATATATATATATATATAAGAAATATATTTCTCAAGCAGCTTGAAATATATTTATCTCTTCTACTTAAAAACTACGTCGTTTTGTTTATTTATTTTTTTATATTAATTGATTCACTTTTGAATGGCTATGATTCCTTTTTTCTCTCTTCCTTTATCACCATTAATCTATTTTTATATGGTTATGATTTTGTAGCCACATATAAAGTTATCTCAAGTAACTTGAGAAATAATAAGAGCGCGCGGGGTCGCACACACACATATATATGGGTAAGATTCGTTGACATCAGTATCAAATTTAAAGTTTGACACCTCATCTGAGAGCTGTTAAATAAAAAAATATCAACGACTCTGATTTATAAGTAGATGACACCATTGATTTTTTTTTATCTAACGACTTTCATATGAGGTGTCAAATTTTAAATTTGACACTGGTGTTAAAGGATCCTACCCTTATATATATATATATATATATATATATATATATATATATATATATATATATATATATATATATATATAAAAATATACTTTTATGTAGTAGGAGAGTGTTTTTATCTCCTACACATACATAGATTTTCGTGTTACTTTTTTATCATTTTTTCTTTTTGTATAAGTGGGTGGATCCCACACATGATTGTCTCTATAGCATGAGATGGCTCTCTCCTATTGCATAAGATTAATAAAACATATATATATATATATGTGTGTGTGTGTGAGTATGTGTGAGTATTTTCCCATTGTACATATCACCAAAAGCAAATAAGAGAGAGAAAAAAAATTTACTTAGATAGGATGATTAATTTCTATTGTTATAGTTAATGAATGTGATTACCAATCGATTAAGGAATATTAGTTAAGCCTAGACTCTAGAGTGATGAGTTTAAAACCAACTTAAGAGTAATGAATGACGAGAATCATATACAGCTAATAGCAGCAACCTCAGTTATACAATATCATGTGCAGGGTCGTCCAAATTAAGATTGTGCATGTGCCTCCCCATATTAATTAACGATAATCGTGAGTCTGTTCTATGTGTAATTTTGTCTTTTGCTCCGTAACAAGGAATAAGAAAGAAGCCATTGTAGGCCCCCTTATTCTATCATTTCACCTACCAATACCAATAATTCTTTGGTATTCTTCATGGTTTCCGGTTGCTTTATTATGTTATGAAGTCCCTTCTGTTCTGTCACCTTTCTTGAAGAATCTTTTTATGAAATTAATCTCAAAAGTCATTTTTACATTTAATGTCTCACTCTTTGTATATTAGAATTTTGTGTAAATAAAATTATTAGAACTGTAGCTGTTAATTTTGTTTGAAATATGGATGAAGTAGATTGACTTGATTAAAGTGAACTAATAAGGATTTGTTTTATTAAATAACTATAAACATGTTAAAGTACATATATAACAAAATTGTGACAACTGAGTTTTGTTCAATTTGCAGAATGGCTCTTGAATGGGCTCAATCGAGTTGTTGGGGCCTTATGATAAAGAATATTAAAAAGTTGGTGGGCCTTGCAAATTGCAATGATTAGCGTAATCCTCATTGGGCTAATAAGTGTACGTCGATGCGTTGTCGCTGTCAGAAAAATATTCTTCAACTAGAGTACCAATATATATATATATATATATATATATATATATATATATATATAGGGTTATATATCTATAATGCAATAGGAAAGTCACTGTTTAGTCCTGCACACACAATAAGAATGTAGGGCCCACGGGTTTTTTTTTTCTTTCCACTCATCAAACTTTCTCTCTCTTCGGTGTTGTATCTGCAGGAATGTTATTTTTTTTTTTTGTAACATTACAGATTCATTTCCCATATATATATTCTTCAACTGAATCAACTTTATCTGGAATGTAATTAATTTCTAATTTTTTTGGTACAATTCATTTCCAAATTCTGAATTGATATCATTTGCACCCACAATATGAATGAACAAGTCTACTTCCTTCTGTCGTAGATTCGTCGAAGTTGGTTACGAATTTAATGATGATATGAGTAAATCCCACCAATAAAAAAAGTAATGGAGACAATTTTCCAAAATTATTAAAATTTTCAAAAGTGTTTTGAGTAATGTATTAATTTTCACAAGAGATATGTAAATCTCGTATAATAATGTCTATAAGTTGGGCTTTTTCACCTTTTTGCCCCTTATTAATTAATTAATAATTATTTTGTTCCTGATTCGAAACTATCTATCAATCTGCCCCTCTTTAATTGACTACCTTGCATTTTTAATCGACTAAATGGCCAAAACAGACAAAAAATGGCTGTTGGGAGATTTAGTCGACTAAATCTCCCTATTTGACAAAAAAAAAAATAAGTCAGTAAGATTTTAATCGATTAAGTAGGGAGATTTAATCAATTAAATCTCCCAACAACCATTTAGTCGATTAAACATGCAAATTAGTCGATTAAAGAGGGGCAGATTGATAGATAGTTTCGAATCAGCGGCAAAATGGTTATTAATTAATTAATGAGGGACAAAATGGTCAAATAGCCCTATAAGTTGTGTAAACTAAACCAGTCATTATTGATCTACAAAAATAAAAATCAGTCATTATTGTATGATACAAGAGAATTGATAGGTTTTCAATTTTCTTCATGCGGTAGAAATTTTTTTTCTCATGTACACATCTTGTGTGAGGCTCACATCTATTAAAATAATAAAATAATAAAAGAAAATTTTGCACGAAAATCGATTAGTCACTATTAGGAGAAAACAATTCTCCTACAATATGAGAAAATATTTTTCCAAATTTATAATTATTTAATGTAAAATGATTATATGTCAATTGTTGATTGATTTTATTTCATTTTTGTGAAGAAAAGTGGTAATAAGGGGATTAGCTCAAATTATTGCCTACTAATGTAATTCTCAAATTTACACCCATGGGAAGACGAAGTTAGAAACCAGATTCTTATTCACTTGTACCAACCCGTGTTGGCTGTTTTTTGGTTTAGTATAAACATTTTATATAGACAAGGTCCACATAAAAATTTCTGTAATCTGGAAATCGTGATTAATCACGATGCAAAATGTTGCAATAAAATTTTTTGACTATAAAATACACAAAATAAAGTTGGAGAACGTGAAAGTTGATGGCGGTGTGGTGCCCATGCAGCTAAGCCTTGTAATATGTAGGGCTGTGCATGAGTCAGGTCGGGTCAGGTTTTTGTCCGACTTGACCCAACATTAATCACGATGCAAAATGTTGCAATAAAATTTTTTGACTATAAAATACACAAAATAAAGTTGGAGAACGTGAAAGTTGATGGCGGTGTGGTGCCCATGCAGCTGAGCCTTGTAATATCACTAATATGTGTAATTGGTAAGTGGTTGGCCACAACATGCTAATGACAATAGCATTATGATGAGCAAATAGAAATGCCATGGTATGTCGGATTCAAATCTGTTGAAGCTAATAGGATTAGTCTAATAGTGAGAGATTTAGATAGATTATATTAGGTTATGTATTTAATTCTCACTTGTATCTAAAAAATTAAAATAATCTGTTGTACCCTTTTTAGTTTTTTTTTTTTGAATTAAATAATGATAACATAATAAAAAAAATATTTTTAAAATGGTAATAATTTATTTCGTAATTATTATTATTCAATTATAAATATTTTGGAATCAGCTAGAGAAAAATTGTAACAAGCTAAGATTTGATTCCATTGTCTGCCAGCCCTATCCATCATTATATGTCTTGGGCCCATCAATTGGTCCTAATGCAGAAGTAGAGCTAAACCCATTTTGGGTCGCAGTACCGTTTCTCTAACTGATTCCAAAATATTAACTGAATTATTTAATTAATTATTTACATATTATTAACATTAAATTTATTAGGATCGATATTTTTTTCCCTTCCATCTTCTTTCAGCTCAATAAATCGACAAAAACAAGCACCATGTCCCCTATTATGGTGGGTATCTACTCGGCAAGAGTGTGTTTTACCTACAAAGAAGGACTTCAATATTCAAAATGAAGTAATTCTGATCAAATGTCATACTTGAATCAGAAATCCTGTATTTATATAGGATTAGGTGGACCTTGACTTGAGGCCTTGGAAACCTGGTCCGTGATTCAAATGGCAAAGGAAATTAATTTAATTTATTTTCTCATGTAATTATCTAAATTATTTATTTCACAATGTAAAATTAATCTAATTCAATCGAATTTATTGGATTGAATAATTTTTACGTTTTTAGTCAGTGTTTTTTAAGGTACACAAATATATTATAATCGATCAAAATGCCCAAATTTAAATGCATCGACATATGATGATTACAAGTGTAAACATCAAATAGAAAAATAAATAATCAAATACCAATAAAAACTATTTGTCAATAAGAGAATGTCAAACTTGGAATCTTTAACGCTAATTATTAAGAAAAGAGTAAAAATATTGAGAGAAAATTAAGTTTAGCTTGGGATATAATGATAAAGTTAAAAGTACTATAATATTAACTCGGACTCGAACACTTCTAGTCTAGCAATCATATCTGTGATCAAGAAAGCAATCCAAATTAAATTGTCAAATAACCATTTCCATGACATAGCATGACCAAACTGTTATAATACATCCATATTATTGCCACATGTAAGACTAGCCCGTCATTATCCTTAATACGCTCTTATTGCCAAGACCCAATAAGTAATCAAGCCGCGACTTTCTTGGACGTGACTGAATTGACAATGGTAGCAAACTCAGGACCCTGCAACTCAATAAGATCAACTTGTAAGTATAAATAATCCACCCGAGTTCTTTAATCAACTCATGGTACTCACTTTGGTCAAAGAAATTTGAAGAAACCATGTATGTACCTTTAACGAAGCACCTCCAACCAGAAATCCATCGATATCTTCTTGCTTTGCCAGCTCAGCACTGTTGCCCCCATTTACAGACCCTGTTAAACAGATTAATTTATTGTTAGTATATCCACATGCCGAATAAATCTTCCTTACTCCGATAATAAATACTCTTTTACTAAAAATAGAAATAAATGAAATTAATGTGACTTTAACCATAAAGGAATGGATATAATAACTGCACTCAGGTGAGTCACTTTTTTTCTAACATTAGTAGGTCATGTATTGAATTTTCTTTCTTTTATAGTGTCCATCGGTTCATCGATTACTCAACTAGTTTGATTTGAGCCAGATAGTACCACATGAGCTACAAAACTCTCTCTACCAAGTTTTAATACAACTGTGTTCTCGGGAACCACATGTACTGAATTTTCAATATTACAAGAGTATTGAAGAAATTTTTCCACATGACACTGCTAGAAAAATTTTACATTCAAATGAGAACTATACTCTCAAGTGGTCAAATATCCTGAACCTAAACTAAATGTTTGCCATTGACAAGGTCAGGGCCTATCTAGTTTCAATGAGAGATTTGTGTATATACAACTTTACATCTATCAAGCACATGGGCTATCAACAAATGGCAAGCAGTTAATTGATTGTAACCATACATTTTTTCCTTTGGTTAATCTATAATCCTCTACAATTCCATTAAATTCATCTATCATAGTAGGCCTACCTTCCCCCTTTATACCAGAATGAAAAATGAATTCACTTGGTACTTTTAGAATGATTTTAAGAAATGTCACACACAGAAAATAACGGACGATCGCAAAGGTTGTTTTCTCGGCCCAAGCATACATGACATTGAATAAAACATGCAACCTAATTAAACAGTATCTTAAATTTCCATGCACCGTAAGAAGTTCAAAATGCAACTAAAGGTGCAATAAATGATTTACCTCCATAAATAATTCGGGTTTTAGATGCAACTTCAGCTGATATATTCTTTTTAAGCCAATCACGAACAGCTACATGTACTTCCTGAGCTTGCTGGGGTGTGGCCACTTTGCCAGTTCCAATGGCCCATACAGGTTCATATGCAATAACAATATTATCCCAACTAGGCACTGCATCTGCACATAATGGAAGCAATCAGCAACACGCTCCCCCCCCCCCCCCCCCCCCTCCTTGTTTTTCCCCAAAGAAAATGGATTATAAGGAAAAATAGCTCTCACCAGCAAAAGCCTTCAATTGCTGGAAACAAACATCAAAAGTCTTCCCAGCTTCCCTGTCTTGTAATAATTCCCCAATGCATGCAATCACTCCAAGACCCTGGCTCAAAGCATAGGCAGCTTTCTTTCCTATAAACTGGAGTTGACAATCTTCAGTTAATACTTATATATTTTGCATCTCTTACAAAGACAGTGATCAAACTATCTAGGAAAATTACTGTAGAAATGATCATTGAATTTGTTTTACCTCATCATTTTCTCCAATAACATGTCTTCGCTCAGAATGTCCCAGAATAACCCAGTTGCATCCAAGGTCTTTTAGTTGTTCCACGCTATAAGAGTCAGATGGTGATAATTAAGTGACCGAGTTAACTTGTTAAATTGCAGCATAATAGAGGACCACAATCACAGCAAGAAGGATAATGCAAACAAAAGAAGAAAGGGTATCTGTAATCATCCAACAGGCCTGAAAATATACATAAAAATGGGCAAACCCTAGAGAACAAAGCCCCCCCTGACCATTGCATTTTTGCAAAGAGGCCTAACCCTATAAGAGCAAACCCCAATGCACAAAGGCTTCCTAACTTTGCTAGGCTAGAGATAAGAGTTGATTGTACGCTCTTTACCATTGCATTTTTGCAAAGGGTCGATTGTAGGCCTAATACTATGCATTAAGAGAGAGAGAGAGAGAATTCCAAGATCTATTAACTCTTGATAGGAAAGAGCAAGCTAACCTGATTTCTCCGGTGAAAGCACCCCCTTTTCCCACCCAAGAATTCTGGGCAGATATTTCAATCCTATCTGTAATTGAGTTTTTCACCTGATCGATGTACAGAAAGGGAGGGGCAACAACAACATCTGTACTTCTCACAAAAAATGCGAAAGTTATGAAAATTGAATATAAAAAATATATTAACAAGGTTATTATAAGCTACATACAAAATTTGTACTTTTGGGGGCAAAATTCAAGGGATCCCCTCTGACTATGGATCATGTGCTGAAAATCTCCCTGTGCTTAAAAACTCACTAACAATTCTCGTAGACTAACCAAACAATGAATAGTAGTGCAAATTGACCCCCTTGTGCATGTGCAGAAAAAACCCATAGAGGGAAAACATATGTAGGGTTTGGTAAGTTCAATGAGTTGTGTTGGTGAGTTTCATAGCAAAGGGGACAATTCCATCGAACACAAATAATTTGGAACACTTAAAACCATCTATGTGCTGGACAGCACTCTGATGTATTACACCATTTGGATTACATTTGATCATTTCATCAGCATTTGATCAATGTCAGCAGATTATTTTAGATTTTAGGAGTCGGAAGAAGCATAATATAACTTTTTGCTGTCTTCTATAGTTTTAAAATTGAAGATTGAACACGGCTCACCAACATCAGGCTCCAATTTTGCACTGTTCAAGTCAGAGACAAGCTTACTGATGGAGTCTTTTGTTCCGTTCTAGAGATAACAACAAAATTAATAAAAATCAAATTGAGAAATATGTAGAGTTTAGAAGGATAAAATAATATTGCATGCAATGCTGTTGCCAACTGAAGAGGTAATTGATTGAAACATGAGAATTTAATCCTTCATCTGTGCTTATAAGTGGTTAAGGGCATTGAACAAAAAGAATAAATACTACTGAATAAAGCAATAGAGAAAGGAAGTGCCCATTTTAAAAAATCTGATAAGACCTTAATTGACAATAACTTTGTTATTTTACATACACAAATAAACTGATCGGTCGACAGTATAATAAATGAACCATGAAGGAAATTCATATTACAGCCAGATATCTTGTGACATGAAGCTTTGTTTCTTAAAAATATTAAGACAAAGTGAAAAATATATGTTGAGAGTTATTATGTGCAATTTACATTCCAATAATGTGGTGCTATAAACGTAAAATTCTTATGTTAAAAATAAAAAGTCAAAACAAGAACTAAAGTACTCAACCACCTAAATGAAGCATTGCATTTCAATAGTGAATAAAAACCTCGCAAACAGTGGAAGAGAAAAGAACATTGAGGGGAAAGATACTTACACACTTCCAGTTGCCACCAACAAAGAACTGCAACCACAAAAAAAAGAAGAAGGAAAAAATCAATATACAAAGTGGCAAAATGTCAGGGCTAATGAGTGGATAATACGCTACAAAAATTAAATAGATACTAGCTATAGAGGATTATGCGGTAAATCGTTCCAGACCACACTGAGGTTACTGTGACACGTTTAATTTAAAGATCAAGGGTATAAATTTTGTAATGGGAATAATAATAAAGTTGAAAAATTTCTTCCAAAACGGCAAAAAATTGAAAGAAGAAGAAGAATACCTTGCCAGTGCCAGCCATGGCGACGATAGCACGGGAGGGTTTGGGAGGAGAGACAGATAAGCGAAGATTGGAATGAAGGGTGTGAAAGAAGGAAGGGTTGCCAGAGAAAGATTGAGAATTGAAAGAATCAAGTTTTGGGGAGGGGCAGCGGAGCCCAATGTAGAGTTGGGAGGCAAGTGAAGTTGATGTTACTGCCATCGAAGAACAAGAACAAGAACAAACTGTTACTGTTGGTGTTGGTGTTGGAGGCGTGCAGGTGCAGATGCCAAGTAAATTATAGTTCGGATTAGCTTCGGTTTTCTTGTTTGGTCTTTGTTGGTGACAGACTCTTGAGTTTTTTTTTTTTTTTTAATATTTCAATTGATTGATAGCTTCTTTTCGCGATTAGATTGATTACGGTTAAGTTTTAAAATTAATGTTTTAAATTTTCTCCCACAGATAATATTTAAAAAAAATCAAATACCTATCTCATTTATTTAAATTTAATTTTTTTTATGCCAACTAAAATATCATCGTTTATTACAAAATTCAGAATTTACTTTCTTGTATACCAACCTCGTTCGAGTTTTGATTAATAAATAAAGGGGCGGAAACACCAACCACTTCTTGTGATCGCATTTATTGTTGAGTTAATTTTGGGTGTGCATACTTTTCACAAATGCTCTTTTTCTTTATCTCTAATATGGAAACAAAAATATAGTATTTGTCTATTTGATAAAATATTTATTTAGATGTTTATTCAGAAATATAAATTAATAAATATAAGAAATATTTTTTCTAGCATGTTATTTACTATATACAGCCATTATAAAATATGTCATCGGCATTAAATAATGCAAAATATTATTTATGACAAATGTTTGACTTTACCTGTTTTTAGTAGTGTATCCACTGACTCGTAAAATTAAAAGGTTTCTATACAAAAAAAATAATTAAAATGGTTTATCGTATTATAGGTAGAAATATTGCAAATTTATCAAAATAATTCTTGTGTTGTGTATTACTTTCACTCTTTTTTTTTTGTATTATAAGCTGGTTTAGTAGATAATAAAAATCCTAAACTATTTTTATCTAATAGTTATGCATTTTTAATATTTAAATAAAAATGATATTATCTTTTATTTATTTTTTCAAAACGGAGTAATGACCATAATCAAGAAGCTCGATTCATGCATAGCCACCAATCATCAACCATACCATTTGTTTTTTTATTCCTGTTCCAATTCAATAGAATATATATGATTATAATTTTCAAAACAAAATTATATAAAATTATTCTAATTTAATTTAAAGCAAAAATATAATATGTGTGTCAACTTTGACGCGTTAGATATGTTGCTGACACGTAATACGAGGAATCTAATCCAATGACCCAGGTGCCAGGTTGGCCAACACAGTGGTTGGCTGCTGTTTTATTTTGCCGTTTAACTTAGTTCTCGTTTTACTTCGATTTTTTCGTATTAAAATCATATATGATTTAGTTATGTGAATTTTTTGTATCTATTTATTTCTTTATATGCATTAAATAAGTAAAATTTAATTATTATTAAAGATTATATGAAATTTTAACAAATTCACTTCCATGTGAACGTGGTTGTATCGCATCTATTAGCAGCAGTCGTTTTACTTGTTCCCTTGGTCGTTTCGACTATGCGTCACATTTTGCAAAGTATCTTTTCTTTTCTTTCTTTCTTTTTCCCCTTTTTTTAATGTCTACTACTTTATTATCTACATGTGTCCATCTATGTTGCCACGTGGTTTAACCTAAATGTAACTAACAATATCTAGACTAGACTAGACTACTGGACTCAAGATAGTGTAATGGATCATGAGCACAATTTGTGGTAACGAGTGTGATTGCAGCTAAAATGCTTGGTTGGAATAAACTCGAATTTTATCATTGAATTTTATGAATTTTAAAAATTCGAATTTGGTCATATAACAGCATTTTATCATTTGAATTTTTTATCCAAACACTTTTTAAATGTAATGTATATATTAATTTTCATAATTACTCCACATTTTCTTTTGTTTTTATTTTCCAAAAAGCATTTGGCTTTCTGATTGATGCTCTGCTCTATCCGTCTCCAATACGAAAGTCTACGTCAACTGTACATTTGTACTTGTCTCTAAATAGGATAACCTTACAACATATTAAACGTTGAAACTACGAAAAATTAAACTCGTTTGCATAAATTAGTGGTGAATTTTCTATTATTATTATGAGAAATAATACTCTCATGCCACATGAGATACTCTCATTTTTCTACACAAATTCATTTTCTGTGCCAAATAATTTTTTTTTCTTTTTTAATATAAAATATGGGACCCACATTTAATTTCTCTCTACTTTTTTTCTCTCTTACAATCCTACAACAAAGTTAAACCCTATTATTATTGGACAAAACAATAGCCGAGCAATTAATCTTCTTAAAAAGACTTTATATGACAAGAGCTTTCAGAAAGAAAAAACAATTCAAAAACTACAAAGAGGTAGAAAAGGATTGAAATAAACATAAAGAACCACATACACGACGTGATTTGTATTCAAATTATACTGGGAATGGATATTCTAAAATATTTTTTACCAAATTCACATTTTATGAAAAAATGTAATTATTCATTCTTAGATTAATGGTTTATTTTCTCATTTACACATTTTTTTATTAAAATGACAACTAATATATAAATAAATAAATAAAAAATTTCGCACGACATGATCAATTAAAACAAAACATAAGAGGATCATATTTGTTACAAAATACATGAAAAAATTTAAAGGTTAGTTGCAAAAGTTGAAGTATAGCTGTTAATTAAAAATAAATAAATAAATCTAAGTATTTGAATTATATATGTATGTATATATATATATATATATATATATATATATATATATATATATATATAAATTGCATAATTTTTAAAAAAAAATAACTTTGTACAACTCTATTATTAGCATTACGTACTTATAAAGAAATTGTATTGTCAGAGTTGAATTGCTCTTTTTTACTAGAAGTGGATCTGTGTAAGCTCAAAATTTGTAGGGCTATATACGAGAGCAAGATTCATAATTAAAGCTAGATTTGCTCATAAAAGTAAAAGAATTGAACATTTCAACTTTCATACACTCATATAAATGAAAAATTTAGTATACACTACATCTGTATACTTATCGAATCATAATTATTTTTTAATCTCATAAGACATATCTCTTATAGCATAGATCTGTGAGGAATCTTCTTGTGTATGAATGCCCATCGGCCATCACAAATTCATGAACTGGTCTTTTACCTTGTGCTCTTGGCAAACCTTCCAGACTATTCTTAAGAGAGAAGGGAAAGTGTGTGGACACTACTTCTTTCAGATATGAACTTACTTCAATAACAGCACTCCTAGGTAGTGTTTGGTTCGGGAGAATTTTTTTTTACTAGGGAAATGTAATTGATAGGAAAATGGTTGAAAAATGAGTTTGATAGGAAAATGTAAAAAAAGTTGTTTGGTTGACCCAAATATTACCAGAGAAATTTATTTAAATATGCAAAATCTATGTTCGGGAGAAACTTTGCACCTGTTTTTTCACTTCCCCAGTCATCTCACAATACCACATCTCAAGTGGTATTCTGTAACAGTGAATTTCATCCAAAAATCAATACAAAAGTCATTCTCCCATCTATCCTATTTGTCTGGTATTTTTTGAAAAAACCTGAACCAAGCGTGGTATTTTTCAATATCCACCTACACTTTCTCATCAATCCTAAAATAAACCTTCAACCAAACACTACCTAGAGACTAATGATTAAAGTGGATATATATTTATGTACCAAGAAACTTTACTCCTAGACTTTTTGAATTTTTCTTACACACTAAACCCAAATGGATTCAAATCTAAATCTCATATTTATTATACACATGTATAATTAATTGTAAATGTATTAAATTATTTATTTAATTCCTTATAAAAAGATACGGTTATATTTATCATCAATTTATATTTACCATCTTTTATTATTATCTTCTATCTTGATTACAGTGTTAGATCTATAAGAAGTAAATGAGATGTGGCAGTTATTAGATCTAAATTTAATCAAACTACTATATCAGAAATGATAATAAAAGATAATAAATATAAATTGATGATAAGATTAAGTGACCTATAATTTCTTAATGAGAATCATAGTTGATAACTTGAAATGTCAATCACTTGAGTTAGAATCTGCTTTTTGGAATTGATTGAATTATTGGAAAGAGATATATGAAGAGGGGGTGGCGTGTCGCCACATGATAGGGTGAACATGAAAAAACAAACATAAAATGTAGGGATTCAACTTTGTTCGTGGTTGGGACTGATATTTTCGGAGCCACCTTTAAAGTTCTTCCTTTTTCTCATTCGAGTGCTATATCGCATATCTTATCTATGTCCCTCATCAAAACAACGGGGTAAAACCTTCCCTCTCATTGTTCTTATCTTATCCATTTTTTAAATAGATATTATCTTTATCTCTCTTCATCAAAATTGAGTCTTTCTTATGAATCTCAGGCCAGCTTCGAAGTATTCAAGGTAAACCTCACTTTAATGGATACCAAAATGGAACCCCAGTTGTCAAGTAATGGAGTTTCTCATCACTACCACGTTGATGGGTCTCCATCGGAACTCGGATATGGACATTACGGGTATTTTTTTACTCTCTTGTTTCATCCGAATCAAATTTATTTTTATGGGATTGAGTATTGATGAAAAGGGTAAAATAAAAATAAAAATAAGAAGCTGATTTGAAGGATTTTTTGTTGTAAATTTAAGGTGCTCACACTATAAAAGGAGATGCAAGATCATAGCGCCCTGTTGCAATGAAACTTTCCATTGCAGACATTGCCATAACGAATCTAAGGTTGTTACTTGTAACCTGTCTAATATTCTTTCCTTTTATATTTGTTTTTCCTGCACGATGTCATTTTCATTCCTTTCCCCCCCATTTGGTGAAAGTTACCATATAACCGTTTGTTAGTTGGATTAGAAAATATATACATAATTTCAATGGTTTTGCAACAGAATTCGATTGAAGTTGATCCTGTTGACCGGCATGATATTCCTCGACATGATGTGAAGAGAGTAAGTATAGCAATTCTACAATTTTGCTGTAATAATTATTTTAATATGTATATTAATATTTGTGTTACATTTTGTTTTCCATTTATGCATAATCTCTATTTTATGGTATTTAAGGATTTGTGTTATTGAAGTATAGACAAATGTGTTGGGATATTCAAGTGTGATGAGTCTCACATTGGTTGGTAATGGGCTAAGTGAAGAGTATATACGTGGAAGGGACTCATGAACCCAATGCCTTAAGGTTTTGGGTTGAGACATGGTGTCGGATCCACTTGCTACGGTTGGTGTAGCTTAGCTCATTGGTGGTGGTCCCCCCGCCACGGGCTTCCCCCTGGACCCGCCTGACATTGGTATCAGAGTCGGGTTGGGCTCGAGCTAGCCTGGTGATTGCCTAGAGGCGGATTGAGTACTTTGGGCCTTGTAGCGCTACAAAATGTTGGGTATATAATTGGGTATGAGTACTTCGAAGGAAAATAACCTCCTCCAAATCACCATGAAGGAAAGTCGTCTTCACATCCAGTTGCTCCACCTCTAGGTCGTCATATACAGCTGCTACAGACAAAACCAGTCTTATGGAATTTAACTTTGCAACAGGTGAAAATACCTCACCATAATCAACCCCTTCTGTCTGTGAATATCTCTTTGCAACCAATCGAGTCTTGTAGCGCTCAATCTCCCCATTGACACCAATTGGTTGGTAATACTTCGCATTACAAAAAATAAAATGGACAAGGTATTTTATTTTGGATCAATTCTGCTATTTGGTTATCTGCACTTGACATAAATAAAAACTAGGGAATGTAACTTGATAAGAAAAAAGGTTTATATAAACATGGGTTTCAGATTGATTTTTCTGTTTTGTTTTCTATCGGCTGTTATCTTGAATGAAAAAGCTAGCATCCAATCATCATGCAACCAGAAATAGGAAGTACTGATGAGTATATTGTTTCTGCCGTTCATTTTCAGGTCATCTGCTGCTTGTGTAACACTGAGCAAGATGTAAGTGTCATACTGCCTAGTTAAAAATTACAGTAGATGCAAGCAATTTTAATCCCTTTCCCCTTATATGTTTACTTTGCAGGTTCAACAGATGTGCATTCACTGTGGTGTTTGCATGGGGAGATACTTCTGCTCCAAATGCAAGTTTTTCGATGACGATGTTAGCCTTTTGTCTCATTTTATTTCTAAAATCTTGAGCCTTCTCTCTTGATTTTTGTATAACCGAAGAGTTATTTGTATCTCCAGGTATCAAAAAATCAATACCATTGTGATGAATGTGGTATCTGCAGGTCCAAACTTTTTCCATTCCTTTAATTCTTCATATTAACTGTTTCATTTTTGGCAAACATATCTACAATTTTTCATTTGTATGTTGATATTCTATGTTTGATAATTGCAGAATTGGAGGTCAAGAGAACTTTTTCCACTGTAACAAATGTGGTAAGCTCCTGATTGAACTTCAATTCCTTTGACTAATAAACCCTTTTATGTGTGCCTATTCAGTGTTCAAACTTGTTTTTCTTTAAATTAAATGGCCGGTCATGATCTCTTCCTGTCCCTAGGATGTTGTTATTCGTCAATGTTGAAGGATTCACACCACTGTATTGAAAAAGCAATGCATCACAATTGCCCAGTTTGCTTTGAGGTAATATTGGTAGGGTAGGTGTCATGATACCTTGGTAGATTTTTTTACTGTACATATCATTTGATCCACTCTTCTCATCTGTGCAGTTTCTTTTTGATACAACGAAAGACATTACTGTATTGCCATGTGGTCACACCATACATTTGGGATGTGTGAAAGAAATGGAACAGCATTTCCAGTTAGTTACACAACTAAAGGCTACTTTGTGTTTTTCAGTGACTGTACACATATTTAAGAATTGCTTCTCTATCTTGGTTTAAATATTTGCACTTTACAGATATTCATGCCCTGTTTGTTCAAAGTCCTTTTGTGATATGTCACGTGTGTGGGAGAAACTGGATGAGGAGGTAGCTTGTGTAAAAAATTAGTCACCTTAAGTTATCATGATTTACATTTATTTTATTCTTTTTCTTAAATAGTTATTTAAGAAAAAGCATTCTCCTTTATAAAGTAATATTTTCTCTATTTGCTTAACAAATTTTCAGGTTGCATCAACGCCTATGCCTGAAATGTATCAAAATAAGATGGTAAATAAATATTTGCCAATATATTTTGTCTATAGCTGCAACAGTGGTTAGCTTCCAAAACACTCAATCTGTATGTTATATGTGTGAAGGTTTGGATTCTTTGCAATGACTGCGGAGAAACATCTGAAGTAAGTTTTCATATTGTGGCGCACAAGTGCCTTAAATGCAAATCCTACAACACGAGAAAGACGCAAGCTGCCTCTGCTTCATGCTCATCGAGGATTGAAGAGATGGTTAGATGATTGATTTTATTATCAAGATGCTTGTTTGAAACTGTTGTTGAATATCAATTTTATTATCTTCACGTTGGAATAAAAGCAATCATGCCTAAAAAAAAAAAAAGCAATCGTGCCTGATTACTTCGTTAAGCTCACCCTTGGACAGATGGTAATTGCTTTATACAATAACTAGCCTCTTATCGTTATTATTAGGCTTATTATTCTTACTTTATATACTATATATATATATATATATATATATATATATATATATATATATATATATATATACGGGGAAGTTATATTTATAAACTTTTTGTTTATAAATTACATTATGTCTTACGAATAAGACACTCTCAAGTAAACTCTCTCTCTCTCTCTATATATATATATATGTATGTACGGGGAAGGTTATATTTACAAACTTTTTGTTTATAAATCTTTATAAATTACATTATGTCTTACGAATAAGACACTCTCAAGTAAACTCTTACCGTAATAATATAGTTTGTAAAAATTCTTATAAATTATATTATGTCTTACGAATAAGACACTATCAAGTAAAGTCTTACCGTAAGACATAATATAGTTTGTAAAATATATATAATGTTACATAACATAACTCCACGTTCCTACACACACAACAAAGAGATGAGGTCTACATATTTTTTCTCTCCTATTTGTTGTGTGTGTAGGAAAATAAAATTATGTTATGTAACATAACTGTGGGGGATCATAATCATACACCTGTCATTGTTGTACGTAAAGCGGCTGTAGAAATGATTTTACCTATATATATCTGTAGAAATGATTTTACCTATATATATATATATGTAGAAATGATTTTACCTATATATATATATATATGAGGTAGGATCTTTTGACACCAGTGTCAAATTTGAAGTTTGATACCTCATCCGAGGGCCATTAGATAAAAAAAGATCAATGGTGTCACATGCTTACAAATCAGAGTCGTTGATCTTTTTTGATCTAACGGCTCTCAGATGAGGTGTTAAACTTCAAATTTGACACCGGTGTCAAAGGATCCTGCCTCTATATATATATATATGAAAAACATTTCTCAAGCAGCTTGAGATAAGTTTATCTCTGGCCACCCCAGAATTACGTCGTTTTATTTATTTATTTCCTTATATTAATTGATTCACCTTCGAATGGTTATGATTCTTTTTTCTCCCTCTTCTTTTATCACCATTGATCCATCTTTGTACGATTTAGTAACCGGAGATAAAATTATCTCAAGCAGCTTGAGAAACGATAAGTCCTATATATATATATATATATATATATATATATATATAAGGAAATGATCTGTTTACAATTTTTTTTTTAAATTATACTAAATATGATCGATCATACACTCTTAATTGAAGTATGACTGGTCATACTTAGTGTAGTTTGTAAACAAAAAATTTGTAAATATAATCTTCCTCACATATATGTATATATATAGGGATTAATATTTCTCTGGCCATTTGAGATAAACTTATCTCAAGTTATCCCTTTTAACTATGTACTACGGGTAGTACATAGTTACAACGTTAAAGTTGATTTTTTTTTTCTCTTTCCTCATTCATTTTTTAGAACTTGTTTGTTGACGTCCAGAGAGAAAAAAAAAATAACTTTAGTATTATAATTATGTACTACTCGTAATAGATAGTTAAAAGGGGTAACTTGAGAAAAACTTATCTTAAGTGGCTGAAGATATATTTTTCACACACACATATATATATATAAACGGTTTAAAAAAATATATAAATATATAGACGATTTAATGTTTTTCAGTAATTAGAGATAAAATAATCTCAAGAAAAAAATAGTAAAAATTAATATAATTCAAGAATAAATTATAATTATAAAAGTAACTTTCTCTCGACCTTAAAATGACATTATTTTGAGATAAGAGATAAATTATCTACAAACCCATATATTAATGTAACTGGTTGACTCGGCTTGTTTACAAAACTACATACCGCCAGTGGCGGACCTGGTTGGTAGCATAAATAACAATTTAATTTTTATTTTTATTTTTTTAAAATAGTAATAAAGTATAATGTTGGTTAAATTAGACTTTGCTTGTATATATAATAAGCGATTGAATAGAAATGAATGGAATACGGAGGGATAGAATGAGATGTCATATTTTATTGGATATTTTATGATGTCATATAACAAATCAGCTTAATTTAAAAAAAAAATTGTTAATTTTTTATGTTATGTTGAAGTTTTTTTTTTATTTATACTTTTTGTTTTTTAATGCGTTTAAAAATTTCTTTAAAAAAAATTTGAAGGCGTTGCCATCGAATCCCATCATTAAATTGGCGGATATAAATAATTTTTTCTAAATCCGCCACTTGCATACTGGAGTGGTTTTTTACTCAATTGTCATCTTAGTTTGCAGCAAATTATATTCCCAGAAAAATAAGCTAATATGAAATTGAAACCGTAAAGCTAACATTAATTATAGGAAAAAGTGTCTACATTTTAAAGAATGTAAAGTTGTGTCATTTTAAGTGAGAAAAAAATAAATAAAGAAAAAGAGAGAGTGGACAAAAAATTATAAAAGTGTGAGTCTCATCCTCTTTTTCATTAATTATAATGTTAAGACTGATATCGATTCTTATGAGAAGGACCTTATTGGAGGAGAACTTTTTTTTGTATAAATTAACTAGCAATTATGTGCGTTGTATGAGTACTTTTAAATAAGTGAAATTCAAAAATATATATTAAAAAATATTCATGAGTAGTTTATAAATTAATTGATAGAATATTTTATTAGTAAAAAAATTATTAAATTTAAATATAAAACTACAAGTATTTGAAATAGTTCATTTAATTGAAAATTGCTTTTTTTAATGATTTATTAATATTCTATTATAATTAATTTTGACTGAAAAATTATTAAAGAATGTAACTTGTTTCCAAGAATGAATAATTAATTATAGAGAAAAAAAATATTAATTTGATTAAATATCAAAATTCAAAAGACATGTAACACAGGATTGTAAGAGGAAAAAAGTAAGAATTCAAATGTGTTATATGAGACTTACCATTTTTTTTTTTGTTATATGGGAATAAATTTGGTATACCTAATTTGAGTAGATTAAGTAAAATATTAATGTATCATTAATACTTTAGTAAGCCCCTGCGTATAATATTTGTTTAATAAGAATTAATGATATATCAATACTTTACCGGCTATCTGGACTCATACATTATTTAACGAATCGAATCTACCGTTACGATACCTAATACCTAACATGGAAGCGTTCTGAGCCATTCGGTAAAAAGGGAAAAGCCCTTGTTGAACTTGACTGAAGATCGAGCCCTCCAAATACCTCGTTCGTCATAGGACAATCTCTATCCAAGAATGTCCCTGTCTTGTACTTAATAAGAATAAAGAATAGAGATTCCTCCCTATTACACGCCAAGCAATTATAATATTTGCAGCAATAATCATATATGATGAAAAATTAAACTATTATATTAGTGTAGATTGACAAACGGCCTAAAAATTCAGAATTTTTTAGGAAGGGAGGCGAAATTATATATATTTTAAATGTATAACTACTATAAAAAGTTATATAATCAAATAAAAATACCTACAATATATAAATCATATTATATAAATAAAAAGGTTTATCATCTATCATTTAACATGACTACAAAAATTTTTCTACACTTACAACATTTTGTGGGGCTCGCAACAAAAAAAAAAAAAAAACTCTGGCACGCAAAACGAATCTTTATAACATAACACAATCACTTTTTCTACAACATAACTCTTATAAAACCCAAATAAAAATACTAAAAAAAAATCATATAAATGAAGGATTCGTTTTTTTATCGTCAATGTAGATAATTTATCTACATTGCACTCAAAACGACGTCGTTTTGAGGTAGAATTAAGATATTTTTATAATTATAATTTATTTCAGGTTATAATAGTCTTTTTCATTATAATTTTTTAATTTTTCAACATAAAACGATATCGTTTTGGGAGTGTATGTAGATAACTTATCTACATTCACTGTAAAAAATATTATTCAATTTTCTGCACCATTACTCTGTCGGATTTTTTCCTTCATCCGGTTTTGCATACTTCCTTCTATTTTTTTGGTGTAATTCCTCTGGCATCTTGTTGTGTTCATTCACGCTGTTGACTGGTAGTGTCACCAATCTTCAGACGCAATTCGTTCTATCCTGGGAGACAAGTGTCCATCAACCTTCGGCATTAGTGAGGGGACAAATTGTCTTAAGGAGATATATTTTGTGGGCTCGGATTTTCTACACTATCCTACATACATTGATCATTTTGTTTCATCATCTGACATCCTGTAAGTCTGTTCTAATTTTTTTATTGCACTGTATTTGATAATTCTGATCATTAATCTTTTCTATTCCATACATGAGTTCAAACCTCTGAGTGATTTAATATCACCCATTGTCTTCTAAACAACAATAACTACTATAAAAAGTTATATAATCAAATAAAAATACTTACAATATATAAATCATATTAGGGTTTTATTATTCTCATATTAAAGGAGATAAGTTATCTCATGTCATAGAGATAAATTTGTGAGCTCCACTACCTGAAAAATAAAAAGAACAGAAAAGAAAAAGGTGACACAGTTATCGAAGAGTGTGTAGGAGAGAAAGTTATCACATGTAGCATAAGAGTAGTTTTTTCTATCATATTATATAAATAAAAATACTAAAAAAAATCATATAAATGAATGGAAAAAAAAGTGTAGAATCAAAATGTGACGTAGTTTCAGCAGACAAGCCAAAACTTTCTCAAATTGTGGCCTAGTTTCACTACAAGGAAAACGGCATGCTAAGTGCTAACGGCATGCTGAAGCCGCCTCGTTAGCCGCATAAGATTTTTGTTCTTATTATGGGGAGGTTGAGTCTGCGAAAGGAAGGCAGATTATTTCTACCCGCAAACCTTTGTTTAACAAAGACGTAAATAATTAAATAAAATATACGTACAAGCTCGTTCTAAAGTTATCAAATATTCAATTAAATCTGTTCAACCATACTAATTAAGAAATATTTACCTGTTAAATAATCTGACGCCTTCAACAATATTATGTTTACCTGTTAAACAATCCGACGCCTTCAACAATATTATATTTACCTGCATGTTAAACAATCTGACGCCTTCAACAACTGCAGCAATTTGTTCATTAATTTAACTTAATTTTTATCCTTACGTTACATTAACTAACGCTTTTGTTTTGTACTAAAAATGTTGTATGCACAATGAAAATCGAAGTCAATGCTGTTAACCTTCCTCGTAGAGATCATTATGATTTATGACCATGTCCACAGCAAGGGGATTAACAAACAGAGACAAATTAAAATCCTTGTCTTGAGAAAGACCAAAACCCTCCCAAATTTTTTCTTTTCTTTTGTGCTTCTTCTCTATGAATATTTCCACAAGGACAAAATATGGAACTGGGTCAACCAAAAAGAAAGATAAAAAAATTCATTTGGTTTCTATCCAAAACGCATTAAACACGCTTAGATCATGAATGAATCTGAAGAAAATAATTAATTAAATACAAAACATTGGTCGCATTCATTGAAAGAAACGTCAAAGAAAATTTCCCCTGAATTAATTAGCTCCTGACCAAATCCACAAGCACTTCTATCCTTGGCATGTATAAAATCCCTAGCACATGCACGAAATCTCTCAAACATCATACCAAGATCTTTGGCACCTGACAATCTACTTACAAGCCAGAATCTTTTGATCTGAAACATGCAGCGACAGAGCCACACTTTGATTGCAATTTTGCTAATATCAATAACCATCCTATTTCATTCCACATTAACCAGAGCATTTGATGATCCTGGTATTGCAATCATTTTCTCGCTCAATTTTTTGTACGTTAGTTTTGATATATTTGGTGTTTTATATAGTTATATATACCATGTTAATTTATTCTTACAAATACTACTATAAGCTTTCATTGAAACTTATTACGGCATTTGCATTTCTTGAAGTTAGAATGGAACAACCTCCTCTCTCATTAAACTTTTTTCTATTAGAAAGAAAAATCTATGATAAATTTAATGGGCAAACTATTTGTGCTTTAAAAGGATGTATTTGTGTCTTTTTAGTTTTTTTATTCAATGTATCCTTGGTAGTACATAGTTATAACATAATTTTTTTTTTCTATCTCTTCAGTCACATTCAGCTGACATGGAAAGTAAAAAAAAAAAAAAAACTTTTTATATTATAACTATGTATTACTGAGAGTACATAAAATAATAAAAAACTGACACAACTTACATACTTTAAAAGGACACACACTGTACCCAAATTTAATACATATTAACGTTTTAATTTTAAAAAGCTCTTGCATGATAAGGTATGTAAAAACTAAAAAGATGAACCTAATTTTGGTACAATTGATCTTAATATATATTTGTGCAGGGTACCTGTACAATGAAAGGAGTAAAAAGGGGCCCGAACACTGGGGTGATCTCAAAAAAGAATGGGCAACCTGTAAAAATGGGGACATGCAATCTCCTATTGATTTGTCCAGTAACAGAGTTACAGTGATACCCAAGTTAGGGGAGCTAAAGAGGTGCTATAAGCCTCAAAATGCTAATGTCTTGAACAGGGGTCATGATATTGCGGTAAGTTCAAAAATGGTCCATCATATTTATTTACATCTAACTCTTCTAATTAATGCACAATTGCTATGGTTAATGGTTGGTCATGTACGTAGAATATCCCTATATATATGTGTGTGTAATGGTTGCAGGTCAACTGGGAAGGGGATGCAGGCTCAATTGACATCAATGGAACACGATTCTTCCTCCAACAATGCCATTGGCACTGGCCTTCCGAACATACCATCAATGGCCGCAGGTTAATTTACCTTCCTCAGAACCATTTCATTTTTCTTTCTTTTCTTAAATACAAACATTTATAATATTGGAACTACAAAGTACAAACTAAAGAAGTGTAGTTCCATTATTTCAATATAATTGCAAGCTCTAATTTTCGTCTTTAATTGTTAGGTATGACTTGGAGATGCACATGCTTCATGTTAGTCCTCAGCCAAATGGAGAAAACAAGACTGCTGTTGTTGGTCTTTTGTACAAGTATGGTTCGCCCGATCCATTTCTCCATAAGGTACGTGGAATAACTACGAATTGTTGAGAATAACTAATTAAGAATAAAAGAGGAGAAAGCAGTTACCAAAATTTGAATGTATATTTATTTATACATTTCAGTTGGGAAAATACATAATGGACGTTCCTGATGAGGAAGAAGAGAAAAGCATAGGGGTGATTGATCCCAAAGAAATCAAGTTGGGTGGCAAGATGTATTACAGATACATGGGTTCACTCACAACACCTCCTTGCACTGAAGGGATCATTTGGACCATTAATAAGAAGGTATAGTAATACTTTTTCTATGTATAATATTCCTTCTCATTAATTATTATGTTCACCTACACACAACATGGATTCCTTAATGTTTTCGAATTTCCTTGGCCATCATTAATTAGGATTGTCTTTTAATTAATATGTCCATTTTAACTTATGTCATTAGGTAAGAACGGTTTCAAGGGGACAAGTGAAGTTACTGGAGGATTCGGTACTTAAATATGTAAGTAAACTGACTCTTAAAGGAAATTTTATTTTCTTTCAAATAGAACCCATCGTTAAGGTGCATACACATTATATAATTTGAACAAGTGTACTCTTTAAGAGAATAACTTTTTTTTTTTTGGGAAATTAAGAGAATAACTCTTAATACATTTATATAGTATAACTGATCTCTTGATTTGGCTCTTACTCTTGAACATGTTCATTATATTTTTAGAAAAAATAATAATTATACAAATAGTTTATAATCTGTAATGTACTCTTAAGAATCTTAAATTCATGTCATATATATAAAGAACTTTATTTTTTCATATGCGAGATTTGAATTCTATAATCCAATCAAGAATGCTTTGAGACCAATAACAAATGACAATTAGGGGGCGTTTGGTAGATGAGAAAATTTTTTTTATCCGAAAATTTCAGTTTTCAAAAATATGATTTTCACGTTCAGTTTACGATAATATCTGAAAATTAAAAATTTAAAAAAATTCAATTTCCCGATATTCTCCAAGAATCCCGCGTACTTAGTTTAAATATGAACGTTTTCACACATCTCTTTGAATGAATCATAAATATTAGTATCAATATATATTGTGATAGGTTATTTTACTTACCTTTTATTTATGCCTATTCTACCTACTTATCTTCAATATTATTAGATTAGAATCTCGATTAAATTTTATTATTTATCTATCCTCTTGATATTCTGATCTAATTTGGAGATTGAAAAGTAAGGTAGGCATAAAAAAAGATAGACATAATATCTTATCCCATATATAATAAAGGAGCAGATTATATTTACAAACTTTTTTGTTTACAAACTACACTGTCTTCTCCCGGGAGAACACTAGGTGACACTATGTTCTCCCAAGAGAAGATAGTGTAATTTGTAAACAGATCATTCCCCATATAATAAATCTTATGAATTTTACTTTTTCTTAGATAAAAACTTAAGTCACTATTAAAAAAGGAAAGCCTTTTATTTCTTGAAGATGTTAGTTTAACTCAATGTTAACTAATCTATTATGTACTCCGCCTCAGTATGCAAAAAGGAATGCAAGGCCGGTGCAGCTTCTTAATCAGCGAGAGATACAACTCAACGACCCAAAGGCAAAGAATATCCCTCAAAATTAATTTATGCATTATTGTATTTATTTATTTTTCCTTTTAAATTAGTTTGGTTCTATATCCGTTTTCAATTTATTCATTTGTGTAATGATAAGTTTTCCCGAGTGGAAGCACATATTTATAACTTTTGTTTTATGAATTGTTACTTATTTTCTCCAAGTTATAAGAAATAGTTTGGATCTCTCGCAATTACTATGTAAATAAAATATAAGGAGATGAGAAGAAAAAAAATCAGAATTCAAATTCGCTTCCTTGCTTATAGTTATTTAGTCTCCTTTTTACAGTGCTCTACCAGAAGCTCATAGTTATAAGGAGTATTAAAATTTTCTGCAATTTGTGAAATTAACACCCAAAAGCTGTCACAAGTCGCAACGTTCGATTAGATTTGATTATGGTAATTCACAATTTTATGTTAGTTTGACAAATACAAATTATATTAAGTTCAATTAGATTACATTCACCAAAAAAAAAGTTTAATTAGATTAGTTCGTTAAAAGCATCAAACACAAAGATTAGGTATTGGACTGCATCATCATCTTCTTTTAAAATAAAAAAAGGAAACATGACTCTTCACAATTGAATACAATAACTTGGGTGTTACGGGTGTAGGAAAATCAGCAAAAGCAATTCAACAATATAATATGTTAAATTTAAATATATTTATTTTCAAATAAACTAATTTCTTATGGTACTTTATTAAACATACACATTTTACTTTAAAATATTATTACTTTTTCTCTTTAGGTCTTAACATTCTAATTACTTATTTTTATGAATTTTATCCATAGTTATTTTTAAATATAAATGTGAAAGGAATACTTCAAGACATAAATAATCGTGATCTAAACATAATAATGAGTTGAGCTGTAGGCTAATATTAACAGCATCCAAATGACTTGAGCGTCACCGAACTGATTTGAATAAAAAGGGTAGATTTAGTCATAGGCTGATTTGATTTTTGACAAGTTTAAAAAAGTATACAAATTGATTACTAAAGTTAGTATTTTTTTCTAAAAAGATTATGGAAATGTCATCACAAAACAAATATTATATATCGTAATTATTTTAGTATAAATTAATTTTTAATATTTTATTGTAGTTTAATTAAGTAAATCATTTTAAATTAAAAATTTTAGACTCCAATTATTTAAATAAAAAAAAATTACAAACTAACCTATTTACAGCTCACATAGTCATAAGGTGAGGTTAATATAGACTGGCCCAAATGCGTGAGGTAAACCAAATTGACACTCTTGACTAGTACGTTAGCGAGCATGGGCTTCATCTCATTAATTATATGGTCCATCGGTTTCTATATTATATTAATACATTTTTATTGATAATTACGAAAATTGATAACCTTATTTTCAAAATTTTCCAATACTACTTTTAATATTTTTTAAAAATATTAAAAATGACATATATGTAAATATTACTAAAAATATGTTAACGAAAAATAAAAATAAAAAACAATCCAAATGTAACCTTAAATTTTCTCTAATGGTCAGAATTGAAGCAAACATTTTCCTTTCTTGTTTTACGTAGTTATTGGGACCGAATTCGGTATTTTTTTTTCCATCTTTACTCAATTTTTTTTAATAATTCTTTTGAAGTCCAACTTTTTTCTCTCTTTTAAAATGGATATACCTACAACAATTGTTGTCAAAAGCTAGTGTAAAAATGTAAAAACTTACGTTTTTACTGAAGTGATATGTGTTAAAACGCAAGTAAAAACTATTCTCAGTAAAAACGATAGAAACATGAGTTTCTACATTTTTACTTGAAAAAAAAAACTGAATCGGGTCTTAAAAAAAAAAAAACTTGAATCGGGTTAACTTTTAACCCATGACCCAGCTTTTTTTTGTTTTAAAAAAACCTATTTTTATTTCCTCCAAATCAAAATGCACAGTATCTTCTTCTAATTATCTGGGGGGAAAACCCTCGCGCTATGTCGCTATTGCAGAGAAAGAAGAGAATGGAGTCACTAGTGAAAAGTTTGAGCACCAAATTGAAGTGGGATTTGAATCAATATATTATGTTTTATTGCAAATGAATTTGTTATAGGAGCAAGAAAAAAAGACATTGAGGACATACAACTCATGCAATATGATGTGTTTGATTTGAATCAATTGACATAATTTAGTAGTTGTTAACTTTATTCTTTGGAAAAAATATTTATCCTTTTAAATTACACAACTTATATCATTTTACTCTCACAAAGAGGTGGGATCCACACCCTTATTTTTTGTCAACTCTCTCTCCTCCTTTATCTATCTCTTAAAATGACACAACTTTACATCCTTTAAAATAACATACACTTTTTTCTTATTTTTTTGATGTTTTGAAACTTAATTGTATGAGTTGTTAAACTTTTTTGTGTTTTTGGACTTACGTCTTATATAGTTATGTAACTTTTATCTTTTAAATATGAAGTTGTTTATTGAACTTAAGTAATAAAAACTTTACGTGTTTTGTGTTGTTTTCACTATTTTCATTTTTACCATTTCCTTCTATTTCTACTTGGAAAAAGGATTTTGACAAGGGGGACCAAAGTTTTCTCCATTTGTGGTTGACAATACTGACCCCACGAAGCGGCTGAAATTGGGGATCACTGTGTTTAGCAAAAAGTGATGGACCCCATATGGTTATAACAGAGTCAAAAAAGTGCACTTAATAGTGGCAGTGCAGCAGTGCGATGCATGTTCTCCTTAATAGCTTTGCTTCAAATGTCAATAATTGTCTATCAAACCAAGATCCTATATTCCCTCCCTCGGATAGAATTGAATCAAACCAAGATTGACAAATGATTTTGAAGAGTCCACCCGAGTAATTAAGAAGTGTAAGCAAATTTAAGTGATGAATAATTATTAATTAGGACTAAATTAAAAGAACTATATGAGCAAAAGGATCAATAATTTCAATGCCTTATAATTTTTAGTTATGATAGGATGTGAAAATCACTTGTAGGTATTCCTCTAATATATCAATTATTCGATTAGTTCAATTTAAACTAAATAGAATTATATAAACGGCAAAGTTCTCCAAGTGATAAATATTTCTCTCATAACTGGTAAGGATGCATATAATAAGTATGGGAGAATTATAATTAATGGATAAGGAACAATCCATCACAACAAATGAATTTGATACCATATCTCAACAAAACTTTAAAACATTAGATTTGTGGATTCTTTCACTTATATTTACCATGCGTAACCTATTCTTTGGTGATATGATATTTTATATCACTTACATTTGAAATCGATATTCAAGAGTCAATCAACCACTAATTCTGATATCAAAATTGGATAGTGACATAAAAAATTATGACATTATATCTCAAACTAAAATTTTAAAATATTAGATTTACAAGTCATTTAAGTTACATATATCATGTTGAATTCATTCCTTTCCAATAAAAAAAATATTTTATCACTCACTCGTGGTTTCCCTACAATATTGTACAGTGCCTAACAAAAAAATGGTCTGTCAATCACATTTAATACTCTCGAGCACGTGTGTTAGCATTGGATGTTTTGATATTTAAGAAGGTTCGCTCTTATCTGATTCTATGTATGTATGTAGCTACCTATTTGTCAAAACCAATGCACTCCCATTTTCGATCATGGAAGTAAATGAATCCATTTTGATATTTAGTGAGGTAG